TATTTATTGAAATATTTATAAGCAAGAGAGGCAGGGGAGAGAAGAAAAAATCGAAAGTATTAAAGAGTGCAAAGGAGGGGTTTACAAGAGATTGTGTAATACTTGTATTTTCTTTTCTTTCCCTTCTTTCTTTCTTTTTCTTTCTTTCTTTCTTTCTTTCTTTCTTTCTTTCTTTCTTTCTCTCTCTCTCTCTCTCTCTCTTTTTCTTTTTTAGTTTTTTGAGACAGGATTTCTCTGTTGTAGCCTTGGCTGTCTTGGACTCACTTTGTAGAACAGGCTGGCCTTGAACTCACAGAGATCCACCTGCCTCTGCCTCCCTGAGTGCTGGGATCACAGGCGTGAGCCACTACTCCTGGCTGAAACACTTGTGTTTTCTGTATTGACTCAATTAGTTCCCCCACCTCCAATGCCATTAAACTGTTAAAGAGAAACACTGCATTTTAAAGTCCTGTCTTCCTCAGATCTGGGTGGAAAATGGTCCTCCTTTTGTAATTTATCAGGAGATGAAATAATTTTCTGCATAATGATACAGTATTTAATAAACTGGTAAAGAGGTTAAAAATTTTAACAGTGGGGATAAACATAGTTTATTTTTGCGCATGACTGCAGAGTAAAGAACAGTCAAAGATATTAAGCCTCAAATATTAAGTTGGGCAGATACATAGTGGAAAATCCTTTTTTTTTTTTTTCATAGAGAGTATTTTTGGACCTAATTTTATTTCTAAATGTACACTGCTTTTCCTGCCACCGATTCTCCAGAGCTCCTTGGTGAGGACAAGATGTCAGTTGAGGCAGCAGATGTACTACAGAATGTGTCTGAATAGTTGAGGAAAGGTTCGTTCTCGTGTGTGCTCACTACACATCTTAAAAATAGCCTTGCCTGCATTTGTAAATCAAATGGCCAGTTTTTCGCCCATGCCAAGTGTGAAGTCTGCAAACAAGGCTTCTTTTGAGTTGTTGCCTGCTGAGGGGCGGAGGCAGCAGACTGGAAGGCTCTGAGATGGCTCCTCTCTGGTGGCTGTGAAAGTGATCAGAGGTTACAGTTGGTCGCAAGAGCTTTACCTAATGGAGCCATCCTTAGTTACTGAGAGAGTGTGTGTGTGTCGCCTGTCAAGAGGCAGCCATTTCCCATGTCTGAGAACCTGGCCAAAAGCGGGGGGAAAAACGTTCAAAAAGGTTTACAAATACTATCTGCTTAACTCTTACCCTAGCAACAGCAGAGAAAGGGGTTATTATTTCCCATCTATGCTGCTTCCCCTTCCCCACCCCCACTTTTATGGTTTGGTGACCCAAGTTATTGTAAAATATCTTGACTTTCAAATAAGTTCTGTGTTAGGACTTAGTAAGTGCCAAGGAAATTCCAAGATGTATTTTTATTTTTGTTTTCCAGACAGGGTTTCTCTGTGTGTAGCCCTGGCTGCCCTGGAACTCACAGAGATCTACCTGCCTCTGCCTCCCAAGTGCTGGGATTAAAGGCATGCACCACCACACCTGGCCCAAGATGTGTTTTTAAATCTACAGAAAAGACAGCATCAATAGCGATAAATAGCATTGAGCACTTATTTAAAGTTGACCTTTTAATAGGGACTCATGAGACGGGTGCTAGGCCTCCACTGTGTCTATCTCTGCAGGGTCTGAGGTCTCCTCGTATCCAGCGGGAGGGAGAGAGGCTGAGACACCTCTGCCCTTTTACTCTCACTGCTGCCTCTGTTTCTTTCCCGGTTCTGTGACTGACTGATACCACAGTGTGTCTGTCGTGGGACCCAGGCGTGCAACTCCTCCAGCTTTGCTCTCATGAGAAACACTTCAAAGGTCTGAGCTGATGAAGAGCTACACCCAGAACAAAACAAGTGCTACTGTGAAATGAGATTTTTAGTGAGCCTCTTTGGAACTGCCACCATGCTGTCCCTCCAGTTTCCCAGTGTAAAGGGTTTGTTTATTGCAGATTCCCAATTGCTTTCCTCTGCCTCTTTGCTTGATGTCACTTAGATAGAAATCGATACCCACATTACCACCCCTACTCAGTCTTTGCAAATCTGATGGCCGTGGGAGGTGGCTGTGTGTCAGATCAGGGCAGAAAGGAAGCACATTGTTTCTGCCATTCTTTGGGCTGACAAAATAGGCAACTCTGAAGATTTGTCCTGAAGCGATGAAAAACCAGGTGCCTCTCAGGAGCCAGCTGGTTTGTTGGGGCACAGTTCTCCTCAGTTCAGCTTTTCATACTTGGCTCTGGCGTGGGACACTGCGGTGGCTGCCGTCTTGTAGCACCCACATTCACTGCACGAGAAAGAGAAAGGCTCTTTCATCTAAGCTGTAGGGTGTGGCCCAGCCCTCTGATCCTGTTAGCTGGAGACCTGACTTGCCCAGGGTTGCCGCCTCCAGGGAATGACCTGTCTAGGTCCCAGGATCCACACAGAGAGCTGAGGAAAGCAAGGAATCGGAGATGACTGAGATTTTAAAGCTCTGTGATTAAGGACTTAGGGACATTCACAAACAAAGCAGCCGGATCCGGATGAAACTCTGATGATAGCCAGCAATTGACAAGGGAAGGCAAACTGTTGACCAGGCTGAGACCAGCCAGAGCTGGCTCTAATTCTGGAACCCAGGAGTCAGGCTTCCAGCTGAGAGTCTTGGCTCTGAGAGTCAGGGCTCCAGATTTCGCTTGTTAAATAAGGATAATAATAATCATTGGAACACATCCAGAATACCTCTGTTCATGACGCTCCTACTTAGCACAGACACTTCTATACTAAACCTGACTGAAATGGCAAGGCCCGTGGTGTTGCAGCTGTTAAAGTTTGATGCAGGCTGCAGAAGAAACTCACAGGCAGGCAGTTTACTTGATTTCTGTCTTGTGAAGATAGTTGGAGTGTAGGTCTGTGGGAATACATGTATTGTATTGATTCATGAAAAATATCCTGTCAGCTCTGTTGGCCGTTTTCTTGTTTCTAAACAAAACCATCAGCTGGGCACGGTGGCACACACCACCCAGCACTGAGGAAGGCAGAGGCAGGCAGAGCTCTGTGAGTTTGAGGGCGGCATGGTCTACCGAGTGAGTTCTAGGACAGCCAAGGCTATACAGAGAAACCCTGTCTCAAAAAAAATGGGGGTACAGGGGAGGTGTTGGACAAAGGGCAAAAAACTCTAATTAGAGAAGAGGAATAAGTTCCAGTGTACGTCATGGCTACAATTCCTAGTGACATTTTTATGTACTTAAAAATTGCCACTAGAGTAAAAGGCAGCCGCTCTAATAGCAAATATGTGTATCTGTGAGGCACCGTGTCTTGAGTAAGCCATCCCACAGATTCCACGTGTCAAAGCATACTGTAGATCACAAATTTATTTCATTTTTTCATGTTAAATAAAATAAAAAAACATCACACGATATCAGTCAGTTTAGGCCCATGTCATAATTGCCCTGTCCCAGCTCTGGGCTCAGTTCTGCCAGCTCTTGCCTCACTTTAGTCACAGAGCCCTGCCCTGCTGTGCATGCCCTTCCCTGCTTCTTCACCTTCCTCACCTGACTGGTTCCTTCTCTCCCACAGCACTCAAGGTCAGAGTTAGTTTCTTGAAGTATCCCTTTAATGTGCTCCCTGTCCTCAGCCTCTCTGTATCTAACTAATTCTTTTTCTTCACTTTTTACACATTTTGTTCAACATCCCATTAAGTCGGACTCCTCCTCTATGCAGGAGTGCTCACAGGCATTAGATAAGCTGATTCACGCTGCGTGATAATCAGTGGTGGTTTCTGCAAACCTACCCCTATTCCCCTTGGGTCCACCGGAGTTTGAAGTGGGTGTGCACTCATCTGGGAATATACGAGACTTTCGTAAAGTGAAGGTAGAAAATATTCGTATGCCACATGCTTTATTGATGGTATATGGTTTCTTCATAAACAATTGGTGAATGCTGCCGTAGAGACAAGCTGGCATCCTGATGGACACCTCTCCATCCTGGTACCCTGATGAACTCCAAAGGCTTCCTGTGTGTCTGGAACTGTTCTGTATATTACAGGCAACAACAGCCTCCCCACAAGCCACTGTATGAGTCTGGAACAATGGTTAACATTTTCATGTTATGGATGAAAATGCTGAGCTGCAGAATCAGGTCTGAGGACAAGGCAGGAAAAGAGCAAATTTATGGTAGAACTCTGTGACTTCAGAGCCTGTTAATTCCTGCTTTGTACTGGCCAATGTTCTTGTATCTCCCTGCTCTCACGTGGTAGATTCATAATGGCTTCATATTGAGAAGGACACTGTGGTTTGGTTCGTTTAATAGACAGTTCTTCAGGGAAGGAACCCGAGGCCCTATTATCACTTATGATGGGGACTTTGGATAAGTACTTTGACAATTTTAACTTGAAACTATTTCCCCTTGAAATAAACAGGTCTGATGAGAAACTGGCACACGATAAATGATTGGCGCTATTTTTAGAAACCATGCATGAAAAATAGTCTGTACCACCCTGATCCTCATGAGTCACTTATGAGTCCTACCTCACCCCTGGCGTGACTAATGCCTTCCTTTATCATGAGTATATGAGAACATGAACAGTGAGCCTCCCTGGGGACAGAGCTCAGTGCAGAGCACATGCTAGATGGCATGAAGTCCTGGGCTCAGTCCCCTGTACTGCAACTCCCAAGTAAAACAGAACAATAACAACATCCCTGTTCCCCAAGCTTCAAGCCCCAGGTTTCCCCTGCCCTCTCTGAAGCATCCCTTGAACCCTGTAACCTTACCAGTGGCCAGAGTAGCAGCGACAGTGAGAGTCAAGTCATGGTGACAGAGGCAGAGCTTGCTGGGATTTCATCACTGGCTGATAATCTTTAAATCTTGATCTTTGCCACAAGAATAGATTACAACTTCTTGGTTATTTTGGGCATTAATAAAGCTGTTTTGGTTTGGCCAAGTAAGTATATACTTCTATTGTATTCATATCTAAGAGTGTTAAAAGTTTTGTAAGTCGTGACTAACATATTTTCTTTCTTGTTTTCCTTTTAGGCTTTTTCAAGATTCTTACCCTTCCAGCAGTAAGTATCCATTTAAATTATTTGTTTTCAGTAAGTAAATAAATAAACACTAAAACTGGTTTCAGAAACACTTTGTAGGCTGGTGTAGTGGCACACATCTTTAATCCTGGCATTCAGGAGGCAGAGTCAGGCAGATCAGGCAGATCTCTGAAAAGAGGCCAGTCTGATCTATAGAGTGAGTTCCAGGGCAGCCAGGGGCTACACAGAGAAACCCTGTCTTAACAAACAAACAAACAAACAAACAAACAAACAAACACCCAAAATATCTCAAAACAACAATAAACACAAAATAAATACATTGTAATTTTGGCATATGTACCATTTTATTGGCTCTTTACATCACTTCTAAGTTTTGCAGTATTCAAGTATTTAAGACCAATGTTACTTTAGAGAGATTGGCTATTATGTTTTTGAAGCTCCTAGTGGGGAGTTTTCTTTAAAAAAAACTGGAGCATTAGAGTACTTTATTTTGTCTGGCCCTATTTCTGCTATAATGCCCCCCCTTTATTTCCTTTGTTTTTTTAAACACAAGGCCTCACTATGTAGCCATGTATTTCTGGCTGGCCCATGAACTTATAGAGATCTTCTTGTTTCTGACTCCTTAGTGCTAGGCGTGCACCACCATACCTGGTGAATTTTTAATTTTTAGATTAACATTTTAAAATTACACATAGTTTTCACTCTATTGTCATATATGTATATACTATATTTTCATCATTCATCTTTCCTTACCTTCCCTTGTACCCCTCCTATCCCTGCTGGCCCCTTCCTGTTCTTAACCAGTTTCTCTTTTATTTCTGTGTCTTTGGTGACCCAATGCAGACTCCATTTTTGGAAGGGAGGTAAATCATAGACTTTCTGGACAGATTTAAAGTCACCACATTAAGTTTCTAATAAATTAATACAGTGTATGCTGGGTTTAGACATGAACTGGTGGCCTGCAGTACTGCCCATGACTCCCTAAGTTTAGCTTCCTTGTGAAATGGTTTTACCAGGAGGATCCCGTTGAGGGTCAGTGTGGAATTGGGTCGAGGGGTTATCTTAAGGTCAAATGACGTAGAACATGTGAACTGCCCAATATGGTTTCTGGTCTCTTCCTGCCAGATGGTAGGATTTGTGTTGCTATTAATAGTATTAAAAATGGCAGCCTCACCAGAAAGACACATGGTGAACAGGAGAAGAAACCACCATGGCAGAAGAGGGCTTGAGAGAGCCCAGTGAGGAAACGAAGGTCGGCATTTCGTAGGCTGATTGCCTCAAGCAGGGAAAGCCTGGGAAACTTACTGGGAGCTTAGGTATCCGGCCTCAACAGCTGGGAGTGAGACCAAACCTGAACTTAGGACAGGAAAGGGCAAGCTGATGTAACTATGTAACTGATGCCGAGTGAGACAGCTGTGGGGCGTGTGTCCCTCATTCCAGAAACTCTCTGATCTAATTGAAGAACAGAGTAGAGGATTTCAAAGGGGAGAAAACAAATTATCCCGCTTCAGTGCCTATGAAGGATAAGTTTTCCCCAACACTGTAGCTCTTTCTGATAATATTACTTGTTTAAACTTTTATTCTAATTTGTAAGTAGAACCCTTTTTTTTTTTTAACGGTAAAGTGGTAAGACTTTAATATGTCTGATCTCTCCCCACCCAGCTACCTCTGAACAGTGCAGATGAGATTTACGAACTACACGTTACTGGAAGTTCTCAGGATGAGATTTTGTTCTTTAACAGCACACGCTTATCATTTGAGACCAAGAGAGTATCTGTCCTCATTCAGACAGACAAGGCACTCTACAAGCCGAAGCAGGAAGTGAAGTTTCGTGTGCTCACACTCCACTCAGATTTTAAGCCTTATAAGACATCGTTGAACATTTTCATTAAGGTGAGTGGCCCGACGTGAAGGGAGAGCTTCATCCCGATAAAGCTGTTTTGAGAGTTCTGCTCATGTCAGTGACACTCTAATTTCTTAGAACTTCACGTCAGATAGGTTTCCCTTTTGCCATGGCGTTTCTGAGTGGGAAGGGAGGTGGTGGAAACCTGGGTTCAGAGGTCAGGCTATGGAGTCTGTCTTTTCATGTCTAGCTCCATCACTGTGACCCATGCACTCATGAGTTACTTACTGGACTTTTGTATTCCAGGCACTGCCATAAGGTGTTTAACAAAGCATTAATCCCCTGTTCAGGCAGAATTCAGTTTTTAACGGGTAGCAAGAAGACAGACAATGCATGTACTGATGTACACACAAGGGGGTAGATATTCATGTATCTATATGTACGTGTGTGTGAGAATCAGAGAATCAGAGACAGGACAGAGAGAGTGAGTTTATGGTTAGTGCTTTTTTTATACAGTTGCCAGAGAAGAGCTGTGTGAGCAGGGACCTGAATGAAAACACAAGAACGGACAAATAAAGACAGAGGGTCACCACATGCAAAGAACTGAAGCCCGTAGAGCCTAGTGAAGGGATGAGTGAAGGGATGAGTGTTAAGAGGTCAGATTAGAGACAGGTGCTGGGTTGAAGGATTTGGGCTCCTGTTCTATCTTGTTGGCTGAATTTTATATTGAGTGTCACTAGAATGTACACAGCCACATGTGGCTCTCTGGGAAGGATGCAGAGAGACCTTCCTTTGTTAGCTCTGATCCTAAGGGATCCAACTGGCCTGGCTAACACATAGTGCTCCTGCCCAGGGGAGGACGTTTGTGCTGAAGTTCAGTGCCTAGTGTAGTGACAGTGAGCAGCAGGGGTGACAAAAATGCCCCTTTGATCCTCAGCTGTAAGTTTAGGACATGAACTCAAGTCTCGCCACACTCCTCACTGCAGAGGCCAGGCGGCTGTGGATGTCTGCTTCACTGTTCTCCAGCTGCAGATAGTGGAGATGGACAGGTTGGCTGAAGTGGAGAAGGACATCTAAGATAGCCCGAAAGCCAGCTTGCCAGGAATGGCTGGGACTAAGATGCTAATACTCAAGGTATCAATGGTAGGGTCAGATTTTTATCATGGTAGCATATTGAGGGGTGTTCGTGAGGATCATTGACTATCACGTATCCATCTTTCTTTGTCTCAGTAATTGACCTCAAGAAGGATGGGGGCTTCAGAGGCCTTTCAGCAGTGGAGAAGGCATGCCCTATCTTGCCCTGACTTTTTTTTCCCCCTACAGGCAGTTTAGCATTACAATGTGCAAGTAAGTGGCTTCAACACTGTGGTGGCAGCTGGCACAGATGGCCTCTATCCTGGCTCCTGTCCCCCAACTGCTCCTCCTGCTGCTGCTGGTTCCAGCTGCTGGTTGCTGCTGCTGCTGCTGCTTTTCCTATTGTTGGATTACAGGATTGCTGGTTTCTAGTATTCTCATGATGAAGATTGAACTTGCCCCAAGGAACTCAGCACCCCCTAATCAGCAGGAAGTAGTCTGAAGAGATCTCTGTCCCCTTTCTCTTCTATCCTTCTTTCTCCCATCTAGTAAGGGGGTGGGTGTTGGAAGGGATTGGGAAGGAAAAGGAGAGTAGGCAAAAGAACCCAATAAAGTAGACTAAAAGCCTGGTTACAAGTGCTGCCCCAAATGGAGTTTGAACCCATGACCCTACAAGTCCAGTCTTTGTTGTCAGAATACCAGCCACCAGCGATCCATCAGTCCCACAATCCAGCAATAGCAAAAGCAGCAGCAGGGACCAACACCCTGGAGCAGCAGTAGGAGCAGTAGAAACAGCAGCCAGCAGAGCTCCTCTCAGGCTCTAGCATTATGTACCCTTTGAAGAGCCTTTAGAATTTCAAACGTAAACTATCCTGAGCTGGCAAAATCATGCCCCTCCCGGAGCATGAGACAAATCATAGTTAGCTCCACAATATTCCATACCTGGGATTAAAGCAAAAAACATATTCACATAACATAGCTGGCTTTTTAAAGAAACCAAAATTCTCACTATATTTTTCCCTTTTAGGCCAATAAATGGCTTTTTCTCTAACATCAATAAACTTTATACAATAAGAATAATTATGAGAACTATCAGGTAGGAATTATATTTATGTTGGGTGGTGGTGGCACCTGCCTTTAGTCTTAGTACTTGGGAGGCAAACTTGGGAGGCTAGAATCCTCCCCCCGCCAAAAAAAAGAATATATTTACAATGTCCAGTCTTTTTTTTTTTTTTTTTTTTTGTAAACTTGCAGAAAGCATTCTGCTATCTATCCTACCTTGGTAAGTCCAAAATTTTGTATCTAAATTATTTTATCATTACTTGTGTTTATCACCTTCAAAACATCTTCGCACACCCTAAAACACTTTCTTAGATCCTTAATGACTTAAGCTTTTATGTCTTTATAAACTTACCATTTTTGTAAGTTTTCTTTTTGTATCTGATAACGCAGAAGACTGTAAGACTGTAACTATTTAGTCTTCCACCCATCAGACACCTGAGAAGGACAAAGCTGCAAAGTAAGAAGCTTCCAAAACTAAATGACAAAGACTGATGACTACCTGGATAGTCACCCAAGATTCCTCTGTGTTGGTGGGGCATTCAGTCTTTGATGAACAGGCCCAGAATATCTGGCACACTTTTCTGTGATGCAGGAATTTTGAAGGACTGGGCTACCTTGTCTTGGCAAAGTTGGGGAGTCAACTTTCCAGTGTCCTGCTTGCCCAGCTTGGACAGCATGCTGTAGTTGACATAGGGCAGTTTTTTTGCCCAGTGTCTAGCTTTGCCATGTTTGAAGCAAAGTCCATGTGGAGGTTCTTCAGTGCCCATCATCTGCTTTGGGGGTGCTGTCAGGAGCTGATGTGTCTCTCTGTCAGAAAAGCCTATATTATTAAAACTTCTTAAATGCCATATTGTGCAGATCTCTGAAGCTTTTGAGGACCATCTGTCTATCTTGGTCTATCTAAATGGACAAATATTGCTTGTTTCTATCTATTTACTATCTGCTTAGCCTTGAAAACATATACAGGAGACCACATAAAGCTTTGTTTCTGTAATTAACTATACTAATACCTAACAAGACTACAAGTTTGATTATTTATAGGTGGCTGACTACATTTTTAAATTATCCTAAATAGTTTTCAATAGTAGCTTTCAAGGACTGGAACTTTATATCAGATTTTTAAATGAGTTTTATATGCACAGTACCTTAAACAAGAGAGTTGAATTGTATATACAGTATGTTGTAGCAAATATAATCTTAAATTTCCATCAGTATTCAATAATCCACACCAATGTAAACTACTTGTGACTTGTTTCTTTCTTAGTCTTAAAGGAGATACAATGATTCACCTTTCTCTTCTTTTTCAAGGAGATACAATAATCCATCATTTTTGACCTTATATCCCTTTAGCATACTGAATTTAAGTTTCTGACTGCCACTACCTACTCAATTCTCAGCACCATATTTATGTTCAACTTTCACACTTCTAATAACTAGGCTAGTTCATCATATTAGACAAAGGATAGAGAATAAAAGAAAGTATGTGATCCTTGGTCTCAAGAGTTCATAGTATAGTGGGAAACAAAGATTTCTTTGTAAAATAAAATATGTAAAAAGGCTTTTACTGCTCCAGGTGCGGTGGCACACACCTTTAATCCTAGCACTCAGAGGGCAGAGGCAGGCAGATCTCAGTGAGTTTGGAGGTTTGGAGGCCAGCCTGGTCCAGGACAGCCAGGGCTCCGTTACACCGAGAAACCTTGTCTTGAAAAACAAAAACAACAACAACAATAAACAACAACAAAAACCCAAAAGGATTTTTCCTGCATTTTACAGTTAAGTCATACTCAAGAAGAGAAAACTCCAGATGTGCCAGAGGCTGTCCACAAAGAGGCCACTGCCATTGGAGGCCTGTGCAGCAGACAGGAAGCTGAGCTCTTTTTACTAGAGGACAGGAGAGGGAGGATATTCCCTGCAGCAGAGGCCCAGAGGTGTGGGCTTTTGTGGTGAGCTACAGATAAACCTGTACATTGGGAAGAAGATGGGCTGCTAGCATGTAGACTTCACTCTGTGGACAGGCAGAGGCCGTCTTCACGTAGGTGTCTGCTGTGGTTATAAGTGCTTATTGTCTGCCTGGATCTGTGTCAAGCATTTCAGCCCCGTGCTGCATTCTCAAATCAGTTGTTCTGGATGACAGGATCAGCAGTGGGCAAGAACGAAAGGATGGGGTTAGCGGTATTAACCAGAGAGAGGGATATGGTGGATTCGTGAGGTTAAAAAGGAGACAAACTAGAGAGAGAACGGGACCCAGTTGACAAGGCTGCGAATGTGAGAGATGAATGCTTTGCCTCATTACTGTATGAAACCATTCTTGTCTGTGAGGTTGTGGGAAGACTAAAGCATTTCTCGCGGACCTCTGGTTAAATAGCTCTCTGCTATACTTTTGCTGAGTGGAGAGCTGACATGAGTTTGAATTCTGAGTTCTCATCATGTATTGCTGCTGTAAATATGGGACATGCCCAATCAATTACAGTTGAGTGTTTGCATAACCTCTCCAGCAGTCAGCCTTTTCAACTATAAGGAAAGGATAACCCCACCTCATCTTTCTGCACTTTCATAGTACCATTTCTACTTCATGTCACACACACACACACACACACACACACACACACACACACACACACACATAATGCATGCACACACACTCCTTTTATATTGAAATGTAGACTGCATATATGAGAGAAAATGTGATGTTTATCTTTATGAGTCTGGCTTAGTGCCTGGCACAGTGGGCCTTTAATGAATGAGGATTCTATCTCAACAGTGAGGATTAATTTTATCCCCTCCCTTCCTCTTTTTCAGGAAACACAGTGTTATTTTTATTACATTTTCATACATGCATATTATCATAGTTTATTAATAGTTACCCTCCATCACCCTTTCTCTTCTGTCGTCCCCTAGTTTTTTTCCCGCCCCTAGAGAGGCTTTTATGTTACATGTATGACATGAATATATATCTGCATACAATGGCCAAAGTGGTATTCATTCTTTTCCCTCTCATTTCTCTGTCCTTGAGACTTCTTTCTCCTCCCATATAGTACAATTTCTACTTTCATTCTCTCTGTCTCTCTCTCACACACATACTCCTCTATATGAAATGTAGATTCCATGTACGAGAGAGAATGAGCTATTTGCCTCTTCGAGTCTGGCTTATTTCACTTAATCTATTCTCTTCACTTGCATCCATTTTCCTGCAAGTGTTGCAAATGACAGAACTTCATCCTTTATTGTGCATATAGACCACATTTTCTTCATCCATTTCTCTGTTGGTGGCCATTTAATCTGGTTCCATATTTTGTCTATTGTGACTAGTACCCTATAAACATGGATGTATAAGTATGTGGACACTTTTGAATGCACGCTGAGGAGTGGCAGAGCCACGTGGTAATTCTAGCTTAGCTTCTTAAGGACCCTCTAGTTTGATTTTCATATGTGTGCACTAGTTCGTACTTTAGTGGGGGCTTTCTTTAAGCTGTCCATGTAGGTTTGTTGGAATGCATGCTCTGTGTCCTCTGTAGAAGGAACTGTGGTGTCAGGAATTAAATGGCAGATCAGAATCAACATGGTCACAGGAGAAGTAACTCGAAAGAAATAAATTTTGATTTGTCTTCAGTGGTATAGATCTTTCATTTTTCAAAAACTCTGTATTTTTTATTTTTCTCATTGCCATGACAAAATACCCTTCAGAGGCAACCTTAAGCTCCTAGTTTGAAGGTGCAGTCTATCATGGCAGGTGGTGATGGTAAGAGCAGCTGTCACCATGCTGGCAGGAGAGAGAACCAGCTGGTCCCACTACATCCATGTTCAGGAAGCAGAAGGAGATGAGCTGTGCCTGTCTTCAGCTTCTCTCTTCCTTCCCCCTTTATTTAGTCTGGGTTGCTAGCCTCCTTTTAAGGTGGGCCTTCATCCTTAGTCAAACCTCTCTGCAAACACCTTCACAGATCCACCCATGGGATCTACCCACGGCTGTCTCCAGAGTGATTCCAAACTCTAGTCCAGTCGACAATGGAGTTTAGCCATTGCACTATCTTAGTGTCATATTTTGGGGCAAAGTGTTGGATATGTCCGGGGAGGTGGGTCTGGTAGTCCTGCTAGGCACCATCACTAAGTTGAGTCCACTTGCACTTGGACACCCTTTCACAGTTAACAACGTGGTTTGGCTTTTGTTTTAGGATCCGAAGTCTAATTTGATCCAGCAATGGTTTTCTCAGCAAGGTGACCTCGGAGTCGTTTCCAAAACTTTTCAGTTATCCTCGGATCCAATACTTGGTGACTGGTCCATTCAGGTTCAAGTGAATGTGAGTATAAATATATTTTTTTGGGCAGGACATAAAATGATTTAAGTTGTTCATATGGTAAAATTTTCTCCTAAGTCATTCTATGGACAGAAGTAAACTACTATGAACATCTAGACAATTCAAGTGACGCATTGTTAATTTGCTATATTTTCCAACAGGTTAGCCTTCATTACAGTCATTGTCTTTTTTCTATCATGGGATTTTCTTTTGTTATTGTTTTTTGTTTTTTTTCTCTGTGTAGCCTTGGCTGTCCTGTCCTGGCTTTGTAGACCAGGCTGGCTTTGAATTCACAGAGATCTGCCTGCCTCTGCGTCCCAAGTGCTGGGACCACAGGCATGCGCCATCACACCTGGCTATCATAGGATGTTTAAAGGTTTAAACATTTTGGCATTTTACTCTAAAGCTGATTAAATATTTGCTTATTAATTGCATTTACGGACTCATTTAAGACTGGGTACAGAACCCTAAGCTATTTGTTTGGCACATTTTGTGATTCAGAATAATAATTAAAATGGGTGATTGGACAAACTTGCTTTGTCCCTGTTTGTTCCTGTTAAGAGAAAAGGCGGCTTTGAAGAGTGCCATGGACTCCTGCTCTGCAGGCCTTTCTCCTCAGTTTCTACCTTCTCCGTTATTTACTTCCCTCAGGTGCAGGACCTAACAGGGAGGGACAGTGCAGCGACCTCCGTTGCTCTCTGCCTCAGCTTCTCAGAGTGCATCACTTCTCTTTAAAATCTATTCTTGTGCTAAAATGCCGTGATCACAGCACTTTGTGGAGGAAATGGTTTATGTCACTGCCATTTCCGCATCACAGCCCATCACTGCAAGAAGTCAGGGCAGGAACTCCATCAGAGCAGGAGCCTGGAGGCCACGGAGGAGTGCTGCTTTTTGGCTTGCTCCCCCCATAGCTTGCTCAGCCTGCTTTCTTACAGCACCCAGGACTACAGATTGCCAACCCCAGCTGGCATCAGTTGCCAACGGTTCCCCAGCTAGAGGTAGGACCTTATGAGTTCTCCCCTCATCCATGGTGGGACTTTGGCTGGCTTGCTCTCGTGCAGGCATTACTCACGCGTGTATAGCCACCGTGAGTTCTGTGTGCTGTGGCCCTGTCATGGTCTTTATCTCCGGCTCTTCTACTCTTTCTACCCTCTCTTTCAGGATGATACCTGAGCCTTGAAGGTGAGGGGGTGTGATACAGATGTTCCGTTTGAAGCTAGTCCCTTCGTAATCTCTTGTTTTAGGCATGTTGCCTAGCTATGGGCTTCTGTGTTCATCACTATCTACTACAAAAAGAAGCCCAACTGATAAAACTTGAGAGATGCATTAATCTATGGGCTTAAAGATAAGAACATAGGAGGTAATTTAATTTTGTGCCTGCTTAGCACAAAATTAGGTTATTATTAGGCTTTCTTCTAAGGCCTGTGACCTAGCCAGCCATGTGCTTTTGGCCTAGTTAACAGTACCTTCATGAGTTTTGTCTTGTGGAGCAGAAAGTGGTTGGTTACTCGAATAGCATTTGAGCAGCTGCTGCACCCATTTTTCCAGCCTATGCTATTGTAGATACAGGGTCCCAACTGAGTAAGACTTGATTATTTTCTTCCCTTCGTAGCGTAGATAGAACCTTCTAGAGAGCCATTAGGGAATAAGCTTGCAGACTGGTGCCAGCTTGACTTTTCTATGTCCTATAATTTGAATATGTGGGGTCTTCTGCAGTAGGGCCTTATTATCAAGTTCTGGAGGGTAACCAGGGACAGTGACAATAGCCTGTAGTATTTGGGGGAGCTAGGGTACCCCACAGAACACCTTGAAAAGAAACCCACACTTGCCACCGGGCTTTTTATTTGCTATTTTCTGGAATCTGGGAGAGGCAGCACCCCCCCACCCCCAATTATAGGATAACTCGAGTTTAACTTCTTTTATATGATTATATGTATATATTTTAGGGAGAGTCTACAGCAGTAGTATTCTGTATTTAGTAGGTTTCTATATGGCCTTTTCAAAGGTCTTTAGGGTTAGGTTGTCCTTCCTCCTGTGCCTCATGCTCCCTCTCTACAACACAGATATTCTTTATTCAAATATGACTTATGTGTGAGAAGAGGATTTTGGCAAGCACATAGAATGTGGTTTTATGACATTTTAGACTTACAGTTGTATTACTAAGATATTCATAAGGGAGCAACCAGAGGAATAATGTACTTCAGTTTTTGAGATATTTAAGATATTTAACCTCTTGGGTCTTTCTGGTTGGTACTTTTGCTATGTATGTATGTATGTATGTATGTATGTATGTATGTATGTATGTATCTATCTATCTATCTATCTATCTATCTATCTATCTATCTATCTATCGTTTTTCAATATAGGATTTCTCCATGTAGCCCTGGCTTTTTGGAACTTGCTCCATAGACCATGCTGGCCTCAAACTCACAGGAATCTACCTGCCTCTGCCACCCAAGTGCTGGCATTAAAGGCGTGTGATTCAACTGCCAACTTATTTACTTATTTTAGAGACAGGGTCTCATTTTATGTCTGCCTCTGACTCTGGGGTGCCGGGATTACAGGCATGTACCACCACACACGGCTTGCTCTATTTAAAAGTAGCATATCCAGGTGATGGGTTAGGTTGCCTGTCATGTCTCTGTCTTGGGGTGATCCTTTATAGGCTCCAGCCAAGAGAAAATACCTGGTGTAAATGATAAGCTCACTGTCTGATCTTTCTGACATGAGTGGAAATATTCATGGACACAATTCATTACTGACAAAAACTGTTCATCAGTTTGTGCCTCAAAAGGTAAAGGAGTCCTCACTTAGGGAGGAAGGTTATTCAGTTACATGCTGTGACTCAAATCAACCCTGATATTACTCTGAATGAAACCAGCCACAAAAGGACGACTGCTGTGTGGTTTCGTGTAAATGCACTATTCAGGATATAGAAAATCAGTGAAATACAAAGTAGAATGGTGGATGTCAGGGTGTGGTGGGTGGAGGAGGTGGAAGGGGGTGGTGTGACCAAGAGGTGGAGCTGTTTTGATGGTGTAATTCCTGTTCTACAAGATGACTTTACAGAGATTTGTTGGCAACAGTGTAGATTCACTTAACACCACTGGCCCGCTCTCAGAGATGGAGAGGTGGCAAATCCATGTCACCATAATTAAAATAAGTTAAAAAATCAATGTCACCTACTTATGAGATATGTTGGTCATTGAGCATCTAATATTTATATTACTCTATATTTTATGATATACAGATGAGTAATATTTAATTAGTTTTTATGTAACTGCCAGAAGATGTTCGCTATGCTGGGTGAGGTGGGATGTAGGAAGTAGCGCTAGCCTGAAGCAGCATAATGAAGGAGTCCTGTGGAGAACAGTTGTGGGAACTGACTTAATGGTGACGAGTCAGTGCCGGGATCCTACTTGGCTCTTACATCTGCTGAATGGCCAACGGTGTCTTTCAACTTTAACCGTGTTCGCTTAGCTGATCTTACTGATTGTGTGAGACAGTTTTAAAGAATATTGGAGGCAGTGTTGCGAAAGAGCTCTATACATGCATCGAGTAATTCATAGATATTAAAATTAGTATCTGAAAATTAGTAGTGAGGCATTTGCTTATTTTCCTGATTCATACCTTAGTGTAATGACCCAAAACAAAAATCTAGACATTAGAAAAATATAAAACCGGAGAAGATACAGGAGCTATTGGACATCATGAGAAGTTCTGATCTTCAAGTGCCTCTCGGTATAAGCAGTGGGCTGACACACTATTATAATGAGATAAATATTTATATTATACAATGAGCATGTAGTGTAGTGAATTTTATGAGGGTTGACGTCTGCTACCGGGAAAGCAAGATGCAGTGTTTCTATATGTTCTCATTTGTTCTTCATATATAATTCTGTGATATGGACATGACCATGTCCATTTTACGACAGGAAGACCATATCCTGGCAAATGAACTTCTCAAGTATACTTATGTAGGAAAGGAGAGCTTTTTTGACCTTCCATTTGGTCTTCAGACCGGTCCAGAATCAGTGGAAGCTTCCTAGTCACTATATTGCTTTAAGACTCAGGCTATCCAGACTAGAGTAACGACCAGTAATGATAATTGACAAATATATGATGATTGTGGTTCCAGCCCCCGGACCTGGCACAGTGCTTGCATATAAGTTAACAGTTATTAGATGTCCTTATCTAAATGCGGCTTCCTCCCATTTACATTTTAGAAGGTATCGTCATCTTTTTGATAAGGACAAACACCAAGTGCTTATTGTTTAATAAATGTCAATATGAGGCATACAACTAAGAGAAAAATAGACTGCCTTTAACAACAAAATTGTCGGCCAGCAGGTGTCAGTATACTCAAAGGCATGTTTGAATATTGGCCCTGGCAGAGGCCTCACTTCTGGTTTTTGTCTTTGTCTGACTCTTGCTTTGCATTTAAGGCTTTATATTTTATTACCTTCTTTTGTCTTAGCAGTGAGTCATGACCATGGATGGAATATAATGTCTCAGCATCATCAATTATGTTTTTTAAATTTTTTTGAGGCAGTAACCATTCTCAGTATAAAACTGGAGAAAATTATTTTCAGGAGAAAAAATTGAAATCTCATTCTATTTGTAGGAAAACTATGGAATGATATCAGCACCGCAGCAGGAAGACTGTGCCTTAGACTTGGAGGCTTTTATGAGGCGTCTGATGGGTAGTGACTGTGGATAACCAGAAAGTGGCATTTTTTAGTCACACGCTTCCCTAAGTCAGGGAAGGGCTGCTTTAGAGAATCACTCTGTGGGCCCTTTGCCATTGATCCAACTTGTGCATTTATAGCAGCAGATCTCAACCTGTGGATCAAAACCCTTTGTTGGGTAGAATGACCTTTTCACAGGGGCTGCCTAAGGCCATTGGAAAGCACAGGTATTTGTATTACAATTCATCACAGTAGCAAAATTAGTTATGAACTAATAAAAAAAATAATTGTATGGCTGGTGTTCTCCACAACATG